GTCGTCGAGGTCGTCCTTGTCGTTGTCGTCGCCGACGTCGTCACCGTCGGTGATGACCCGAACGTCGTCGTCGTCGCTCCTGTCACACGTACACTATGCACCAGTAGCACCGGGCACGAGCATGCGGCCATCGCGCGCGCGGCAGCGGCGGCGGCGCGCAGTCAACGAACTCGCATTTCTTTTCGCCCGAACTTTTGTTTTCCCCTTTTTTCTTTCTCCTGTTCGACGCGAGAGTGTGCGAGGGAGAACGAGGGAAGAGGGAGAGAGGGGGGGGGGAGAGAGAGAGGAGAGACGAAGATAAAGAGAGAGAAAGAAAACGAAAGGGAGAGAACCACGCGCGCACCTCGTATCGCTTATATCCGTAGATCTCCCGACACGCGGCGGTCCTTCTCGCGCGTACACATATACGCACACGTATCTATCGGTGTGTATCCCGGTGGCCGCTTTATACACCAGGAACAACCGACCCTCCCGGTGTCACTGGCTTCTTCTTCTGCCTCCACCTCTTTCCTCCATCTCCTACTCCTCCTTTTCCTCCTTCAACTTCTCCCTCTCGGCTACGCGCTGTCGTCTCTATCGCGCGCGCGTGTGTCCGCGCATACTCGTGCACCTGCAAGGCTCTATATGTGCGCGTGAGCGCAAGTAGTATACGCGACACGCGTGTACGTGTATGTACGTGTATGTACGTGTATGTACGTGTATGTACGTGTATGTACGTGTATGTACGTGTATGTACGTGTATGTACGTGTGTAGGGCGCCGACACACGGACTGGCGCACGCGCGCGTTTCACGTTTCTCCTCGCTTTCGCACGTGCATATACGTACATCGGAGCAAAGTGAGAGAGAGAGAAAGAGAGACCCTCTCTCTTCGTTGCTCTCCCTATGACGACGGTGGCGGCGCGCAATCGTTCACTGACCCGCTCTTACCGACACGGGCTCTTGTCGCGCGCGCGCGCACACAGAGCGGATAGACGAACACACACAGGCACACGCGCCCGCCCGCGTGTCGATTCGATTTTCCGATGCAATTTTTCCCATCGGGAGAAACGAGAGCAGGCCTGTCCGTCTCTTCGTTCCGTCGTAGCCGCTCCGAGAGTACGGCGCTCTCTCTGCTCGTTTCGCTTCGCGCGGCGGCGAATCTTCCTCTTGTTCTCGAATGCACGGGAACGAGACGAGCGAAATGCACCGAACGAAAACAACCGGCGCGGCGCTCTCTCGGCGCACTGCCGAGGCGATTAAAGAAAAAAAAAAAGAAAATAAAGAGAGAAAATTCTTACGTTCTTCCTTCGTTTTCTCCTCTTCCTCGTCCACGGTTCTCCACCTTCGGTCCACGGTCCAATAACGCGCGAGTGTCCGCAAGCGGTGGAGTTTCGATGCAGCACTTCGAAACACACGTCTTGTGAAACACGTCCGTTTAGACGACGATACGGGGGAGACGTTTCGAGACGGCGTCGGCGGCGGCGACGGCGATAGCGCGCTCTCGACAGCCGGGATAACGACAATCGCGCGCGTTATTATCGCCGCGCGAGGCGGAGGTGCCGACGGCGCCGTAATAACCCGCACCTGTCGCAAGAGCCGCGTGAAGTTGCCGCCGCGAGTTGCCCGCGTCCAGTCCGCTACCAGTTTCCTGCACTTCGCGCACCACCACCTCGAGCATAAACATCACCGCGCGCCGCGCGCCGGTTAATGGCATATTATACAGAATCCTCTCGCGGCCGGAATTGTCTGCCGCCCGTCATATGGATTCGACGAAACCGTCTTCTATCCCCCTCCCCGCGCGCATTCCACGCGAAACCGCCGTTCGATTCGTTCAAACTATTCGCCTCGTGTACTATTTACTCCGCTCCGCCACCCCTTCGCGGGTCGCCGGCGTTTTTTTACCACTTTTCCGACTTCGTGCGACTCGATATACGCGACTCGACTTCCCCTTTCTCGTTGCTCACTTCACGTCGCTCTCGCTGTGTACTCCCGCGCGCGAGCTCCGCTTCTTTTTTTATCTCTTTTCTCGCGATATATAAATTATCCGTGTTGATCGCGCCGGCTCCGATTATCCTCTGTCCCTAATTGCGATAAGAGTTACGATTTTTCATTTTACTCCGCGACGGTCGTCCCGCCTACGCACCTCTAATTCAACGAGGAAAAAGGATCATGTATTCTTGTGCCCTCCAATCTGCGACAAACTTCTTACATCCTCTCGCTTTTTTTTCGTTTCGTCGAGTCCGATAAGACAGCGCGATTCGCGTCGGCCGGTCGTATTGTTATTATTATGTATACACCACGTCCCCCGCAATCCCAATCGTTCCTCACGTTCTCGTTTCGATGACGTCGGGTGACTCAACTCAACTTATAATCCGACCCGACTCGATTCCGACCACGCGACTCCGCGACACACGACGCGCGCGACGGTCGAATGTAGACTGAATCAGACGCTAGCCGCCGTACTCCATGTATCGGCCTGAACGTATCCGCGGGTCTCCCTCCGCCGTCTGCTTCCCCTGGCCACTACGCCCCGCCACCCCCTCGTTGAGCTACCGCTCTTTCTCTCGCTCCTCTTACCACTCTCGCGACGCGGCTATCAGTTCGTGCCAGACCACAGTCCTCGAGCTCGTTTTTTTTTTTACCGCGATCACGCCGCGTATCTACGAGAAAATTGGAAAGAGCACGGTCTAAAAGAATGACCCAAAGTACCATCTTTGAGCGTAGTTACATTAATATTTTATCTAGATATGTCTAATGCGATCTCTAATCGGTCTTCCGCGAATGCGGAAGTAACATTCGAAATGCGGAAAGAGACTGCATTTATTTGATATTTTTAGTTTACTTTTTTATATTAACGGAAAAAACATCTTGAGAAAGTAAATTATAGATAGATAGATATAAGGTAGAGATAAGATAGAGATAAATTGTTATTTATTACGCGCCCTGGAATAACATCTTCTCAGACGCTAAGAATACCTTACAATTATAATTATTATAAAGCAAGAAATAGTGAGTATTAAAAGAGAATTCAGATATAGAGATACAGCCTTGGCCAAAAATATTACTCATATTTTTTTCATTTATCTGGAATTCTTTTATCTACATTGTTATCTATTGATTACCGGGATTATACATATAAGTTTAAAGGATTTTTGAAACAAAGGATAATTTACAGCAAATGCCATAAATCAATTTTTAACTAAAACTTTAAATAATGTTTAATAAGATGCTAATATTTTTGGCTATAATACAGGATAGGCTGTAATACAGGATACAAAAATATACAAAAATAAACGAAAAGTAGGGGAGAGAGAGAGAGAAATCGTCGTTATTAAACGCTTCAAGATAAAATTCTTTCAAGCGCTGAAACATTATTATACATTATTTTCAACATGGTATACCTACTAATCGAATTAATTCTAAAGAAGCGGAATCGTAACTTGTTCTCGTAAGACTTATAAGAACTTATAGCTGGGAGTTGTAATTCTATTCGTAAAACATAGTACCATCATTTGTAAGTATATACGATTTCTCGTAAATTTTATGGCTAGCAAGAAGCTGTTTGTAATGATATTGTATAAAATTATAAGTATTCCAGTCGTAAATTCTTACAAATCTAAGGCATCGTCTATAATACGAGAAGTAAGTTTGATTTAAGAAGTAAGAAATTGATCAATCACAGTCGACTATTCTTTTCACAATCGATTGTGATTGGTCAATTCCTTTCTTCTTAAACCAAGTTTACTACATGTATTGTAGACGGGCCATTACAAGAACTAAATTATGTTTGAGCTTTACGACTCTGCTTAAAATCGACCTATATAATACATATTTAAAAATTAAGTCAAGGTGAAAATAATAAAAAATTATTTAAAAAAATAAAGAGAATTTCGAAAAATGAAAAATAATATAGATATATGTACAAGCATATAATAAATGCCGATTACTATCACGCAAGACTGTGAATGTAAGAAAAAGAAAGGAAATAATGTGTGTGTGAGTGTGCGCGCGCGCGGGTCTGTGAGTAAATAACAAAAAATCCGTTTTCCTCAAAGAGAAAGATAATAATTCTGGGATTGCGAAGTCATTCTACATTATTGTGGCGACGGATTAGATAAAGAAGGCGGGCGTATGAACGATTCGCGCCGTAATGAAAGGCGCTATATGATATTTAGCGTACTTATAAGCGACGTCTTCGGTCAACGTCGAACCGCGTTGCGTCGTATCCGAGATACTAACTGTCCTCATAAATTATATCGTGCATTTTTAGTCGCGCGATAAAGAGCACCGTACAATCGGGACGCTTCTTCTTTCGCGTTTCTGTCACCCGTGGAAGGCGCGAGCGCCAAGAAGACGGCAGTACGTTCTACGTTCATGAATGACAAAAGCCGGCACGAAGCGGCGTGTCAGGGAGAAACTGGATGCAATGTTTTATTGACGAACGCGCGCGCGAAGTATGGATGGGTCAAAAGTTCGTGTACTGTTGCATTGAGGAATCGCACGTCACGTTATTCTCGGCTTCTCCTTCGAATGATCTCCGTTGATAATCCGGTATAAAACGTCACTTGACGCAGACTGACAACGAAAAGTGGCTAGCTGTCGCTTGATATGCTTGTTGCTCGATTACACTTATTGTTATAGATTAAAATCTAAGCGCGACTATAATTATATGATGATATTGTTTATGTCTTATATGTAAAATGCCAATAGTCAATCGGCGTTTTTGTCCTCCTTGAGGTTCATAATATAAGTCTTATTTTTTGTCTCTTACCAAAGATAAATAATCTACACCTGGTTATCTCTCTCGTGATTCTTAAGTGTAATTATTTAATGGAGTAAAATATGTATGATTGACATTCGGTTTTTTCAATATAAATTTAAAGATCTAAAAATATATACATTTGTATTTCTGATTTAATAAATTGAATGTTTTAAACAACCAATTTATATACAGGGTGTCCGGAAAATCGAGGTCAATATTTGAAAGCGATTCAGAATCCAAAAAGAAGAAAAAAAAGCTATATTAACATAGGTCCGGAAATAAGTCGTTTCCGAGTTATAATCACTTTTATGTTAAAAAAAATTGTTATTTATTCTTCATAATCACAATCGTAATTTATTTCATAGTGTTTTAACATAAATAACTACACTTCGGACTATTTTGGCGGTAATCAGGATACACCACGTGGAGGTATAGTCCGCTTGGCATCTCTCTATAATAAAGTAAAAAAATTTTTAAATAAAGAAATAAAAAAAGGATGCCAAAGCGGACTATGCTTCCACGTGGTGCATCTTGGTTAACACCAAAATAATCCGAAATATAATTATTTATGTTAAAACACTATGAAATAAATTACGATTGTAATTATGAAGATTAAATAACAATTTTTTTTAACATAAAAGCGATTATAACTCAGAAACAATTTATTTCCGGACCTATGTTTATACAGCTTTTTTTCCTGCTTTATGGGTCCCGAAGTATTGACCTCGATTTTCCGGATACCTTGTATATAGTATATATTTATTTGTAAATATTGAGTATACATATATATATTTATTTATTAGTAAACATTAATTATCTGCAAATGCAATTGATTATTTAATTGCATTTAATTGACATTTAAATTATAATTTTTTTATTTTTAAAATTATCGTAGTCCAAAGTTTTTTGCATACTAAACAACAACAGATCCTATATATGTATATAATAAACATTTTCTGATGTAATTACCATTTTCTATATCAAAAGAAAAATGTTTTATATATCATTCAAACATAATTTTAAATACACAAATCAGAAAATATTTTTAGAAAAGAAATATTGAGCATTGCGCGAATATTTTCTTTGATTTTCATACGTTAGATGAAATCTTAAGGCGACTCCAGACGACGGACGCAGCCAATGTATGCCAACTTTGCGCACATTCACTAAATATTGACTTATATTTATATGGATAATTGTGCATGTCGTGTGTGTGTGTGTGTAAAATATTTGCTAATGTTGCGTACATTGGCTATATCGTCTGGACCCGCCTTCACATTAAGATCGAGGCCACATAATATAATAAATTTAGACGTGTGTGTGTGTGTGTGTGTGTGTGTGTGTGTGTGGATTAGTTATTATTCATACATCAATAATTGTCGCGCACGCACGCACGCACGCACGCACGCACTCGCGCACGCACATTTATTTGTACATATTTATTAATAAAAAAAATAAAAAATTAATTAAAAAAATTTATTTTACTTTTTTCTTATTTTACAAAATATTTTATAATATAAATTTTTCAGCCGTAATTCTGTTTTTCGACCGTGTTGAAGAGATTAAATAAATTAACATTTACAATTAATGAATGTCTGCAATCAATTGATATCATAAGTGGAATCTTCATGATAACTTGCATTTTCGCGCGTACTATCAAAACCCAGTTCTTGATCTGTTTGAGAGACTAGTTCAATAATTGCACTGTAACATAATAAGATAGTCATCACGTATTTATAATTATAATTTCATAAGAATAATTATTATTCTTAACACGTTTATTGGCAAGAAACAATCATAAATAATAAATGTATATATAAATTTTTATATACTTTAATAAATTTACTTCAAAGGTTGACCAAGATACTGTTGCCGGATTTGTAACTTTATATTCCAATAAGCTATTTAGAGCTTGTTGAAGTTCCTGTATAATGAAAAAATATTTCAAAATAAAAAAAATTTCTTTTCTTTAAGAATACATATACATATATTAATCATACTAATCTGTATACCTGTATCAATTCTGCGGATTCTTCTTCGCAAATTATGGTTTCCGAAAAATTGATGCTAATTATATATTGCCCTTTTTCTCGTTCTAAAATAATGTTATAACATGTGCATGATTACTATTTTGAATGATTAGCACGTCCAAATAGAAAAGAGTTATATTTACTTATCGACATGTTTGGTCCAGCAAACAATAAAATCGGTACACTTATACATGTGGTGTCATGCAAAAATATGGCGGTGGACCGTTGTTTTGTGAAATATGTCAAATAGCGACTAGGAAAGTTGGAAACTCTGTTGTTTACGCTCGATGGATGTATACGCACACTACCGTCTTCCGGTGTCCAACTAACCACCCCATTTTTAGTAACTCGCCTAAAATAGTTAGAATCATATAAATTAAGATAGTTGATATTTAAATCAAATGATCAAGAAGTAATTAATATAAATCAATGTCTACACCTTACAACAGCGATGTTAGGATATAATCCTGCACAGACAATAGCTTTTATCAACGCTATGTTATCCGAATTTCTGTTAGAGCTTATATGGCTTGGGTTTTCACTATCCAGAAATCTCATTTCATATAAATATTGTGCAAATTGAGCTTTCATTTCGGAGAGAAGTTTCAATGTGTTGAAGGAGAGAAAATACTCCCGGCAAAACTGGCGAGCATTTCCTCTTCGACGTGCAAC